AAAAAAAAAAAAAAAAAAAAAGTGATAAAGAATGGCAAGGGTAAAACTTCATAATTGTAGGGATAATATGATTTTGTGCAATGAGCAATCATCCTCCCCAGATAAATCCATTCATAACACCATTATTCACTCAAACAATGGATGTGAGACTTAAACTTACCCGAATCATCACACCAAAAAACCGAAAGATGAGGCACAATAAGCAACACTATGGTGTACACAATAAGTGAACAACAACTATCTTTCTCATGTTTTTGGGATACAGCCGTCAATTCAAGGTTTGGTGACTGGTTCACTTCTATCTAGATGCACACATGCTGACAGGTCACAACATGGTTTATATAGCAAGATTTTCACTTATCTGGAACACAATTTTAAGTAGGCTAGTTATTTTGTTCAAAACATATTAGGAAACACGCCCCCTATCTTTGAAAGAGAGACCATCTAGAGAGATCAAATGAAGATACTTAGGGTGTGATTGGACATGGATTTGACTTCGTTTTGATTTTTTTTTTTTTTTTAGCCATAGTTAATTTTGAAAAAAAGGTGGTATGATTAGTTAGTGCAATTTTGAGTTTACATTAAAATAACATTTAAAATAATATAATTAAAGTTGATTTGATGTAAAAATAGGAGAGAGATGATGTGAAGTAATGGTTAGTTAAAATTGTGTGAGTGGATGAATAGTGAATTATAGTTGATGTGATAGTATAAGAATGATTGATTGATATTATTTATGTATATAGATAATATTGAGGATAACTGAGTTGAGTTAAAAAAAAAAATGATTGAGTTAAAAATGATTGAGTTTTTACAATCAAATTCATATCCTATCACATCCTCGGCACACGAGTAGATCAAACTTCGTGCACATCAATCTCGCCACTATGCTACGAGTTCAAACTTACACAATGATAGTCATGGAAGTAATAGGAGTTTCAGGAAGACAGAAGCTAAGGTACAAAAATAACAAATGACGTACTAAAGTAAAGTTAAATCCCCCTAATAAAACTTTGAAAAATTATGCTTACACTTCACACTGATTGAGTAATGAAAGCTTGTTGGGCACACAAGATTGACCATCAGCTTTGCACACTATGTCACATGATTCCCCCTGTCTATTTATCATTTAGGACAAAATAGAAGAGATCAACATTTGCAATTTATCAGGTCTTCCTACATATTCAAAGCAAAGCAACCATCATAATTACCTCCCAATAATGATACTAATGCCAGCCAGTCTTGATTCGAGTTGTGTACTAGATGTCATCAGTCTTGATTCGAGTTGTGTACCAGAAGGCCCTGTTATTGAAATACCCTTATGCATAACATCTTCTAGTTTCTGCTCGCATGCCAATATCATGTCACAAATATAATGGCTTGAAGATATATCATACACAAGTTCCTTCTCTTTCTACATCTTTAAGCACCAATATTCCAAATCCCTACAAAGAATTTCTATTAACTACCAACAACATTTGGAGATTTTTTAGGTACTTCTGCGGAAAATCAAGCTCAAATTCTTATATGAAGGCCACTTTCCTTTAAAATAACTTTAACTACAATCAAGCTTGGAGATGAGAAAGTCATGAATACAGCTCTCATGGTTTGTCAAAATATTGAACTAGCCAGAAACAAATAGTTTCTTTTCGCTGGTTCAGCCCAACATAAATAATAAATAGTAGGTAAAATTAGACACATGTTGATAATTACTTCTCCATCAAAATAAGGCTCCCACTCTACCAATAACATTTTGTTGAAAGAAACGCCACAAGAAATAGGCATAATATAGATAAAAATAAATGCTCACGCAAACCAAACCTACATAAAATTAGCTAATAAGTATAAACAATTCCACATTTTAATTGCAAGCAAGATCATCACTTACTGATCCAAACTAAAGCAGCATATATAACTAAAGATTAATTCAAACAAAGCACACAAGAAGAAAAAAGACAAAGAAGAAAAAGAACGAAAAAAAAATGCAGTCACCAAAAATCAGAGTGCAAAGAAAATGAAAATCTTTCTTCAAATCAAAAGCAAAAAAGACTATACATGAAAATATAAAATGGGGAAACAAATTGATAGATATTGCATTGATAACCATTTTATTGTTTGTATTAAATCAAAAAACATTCGCAAACTGACCTGAGAAATTAGAAGGTATGGAAAAACAATGGTGATATTCACTTTGATATGCATTTTCATGAACCTGAAATATATATAGAAAAACAAAGGAAATAAACTATCAAATGCCATGTGATATCAGTTTCAGTATGGTCCTTAATTCATTAAAATGCTATAACACTGAAAGTGCATTGGTCTCTGTCATTCTGAAATATGAAATAAGTCCACTCACCAGTGAGTTGCCGACTAATGGTACTTCATTAGCTTTTGGTGAATGTTAAGGTTTTAAAAATAGTCCATAAGGTAATATTTAATAAATTTTTCCCTTCAAAAATATTATCTTTCAACAAGCATGATGCAAGGGTTCACACTCAGTGAAAACAGGAAATGTAATCATATTAGTTTCACTTATTTCACCAAACAATGAAATGCCAGGGGTGTCCATTCATTATCTTATCCAGAGTTATAGACCTTTCCTTGACTATGAAAACATTTTCTTTGCCAATTGGCCATTCACAGAAAACAAAAATTGATAATGCTAAGTCGGTTGTTATGAGCAAGGATAATATGATGAGATCTATGACAGAAAGGAAAAATATAAATGCTGGAAAATAATAAAAAGATGCCTAAGATTTGAAAGCACAACCGCATTGGGCTAACATTACAACAATTTCAAGATGGTGTGAGCTTCAAGAGAATGGTTATATCGAGGCCAACCACAAATAATGTTTACCGAAATGCGGTTTGCAATCCTATTACAAGGTTGCAGCCCTTTGCACAAAAATTTTAAAATCAAGCAAATAGAAAGTATACCACGCTCGCAGAATTATGCCGACATCTCCCAGCACAAAAGTCAAAAACACTTTCGTAGTTTCCTGTCACATGCAGATTAAAATGTAAATTATCAAAGGGAAGTCTATAGATTACAGGAAAATTCAATATGGACATGGCAAAAAGTCTACAATCTTCCTAGTAAACATGGAAACCATAGTAAGCAGAAATTAATCAGAAGATTTACCAGCAGTCACAGGTTTTGCTATTTTGACCTTTAAAGCCAATTCTTTAAGAGTCTGTCGAACAAATATACTCTGTTAAGTGAAAAGAATATTTGGCGCAAAAAACAAAAGCAGAAGACCAAGATGATGATGATGAAGGAAAAAGAATGGGTGAGTTATTACCATTACTGGATTCAAGCAGCAAGAAACACAATACTCATATGAGTTACAGCACTGAGAAACAATATTGCAGCCTCTGCAGATTGAGATAGATACCTATTACAAAGTAAAAGAAAGAAAGAAATGTTCTGACAGGAAAAGTAAACAATTACATTGCAGGGGTAAGTACAAACAGTGTCATACAGCATAGCCTAACATTGTTCTTCAGAATAAAAAACAACCCCCATGACATATGCTTGTATATTGAACCAATTGAAAGGCGTGTGTGTAAAACAGATGCAAACCTCAAGCAGGTATTTGTAATTTAAGCTAACTGTTTATATTTTTGTAACTACGCCAACTTCACGAGTTCCGCTTGTATATTCTCTTTACTACTAACAAGACCAGGTCGACATACTTTAATGACAGATAGTGTCTTCGTTCACGTAAATATGTCTGCTGTTCAGATACATACGTCTGGATCATTTTTTTGTTAATAGCTGGCTATGAGTCAATTTCCAGACTCGTCACAAGATATCCAATATCATACTCAAAGGACACGATATAAATACACAGTTCAGTGCGAATCTCTCAGATATACAACTCCATCTAAGTTGTCCAAAACGAAAAATAAGACCCAGAATAGAGCAGAAGTAGGAAAAAAAAATGACTGGATGATTCAATAGAGAAAACTCACTGGCAAGAGAATTTATCTCCTTTTCTTGGGCAACAACGGGTGAGTGGATCAACTGAAAATGCATCACATACATAACCTACAAGAATGAAACCTCATGATGACAAGATCAAGCTGAGGCCAAATATTTTCAAATTTGATATTTTTCTAAAATCTATCATTCTCAGGCATTCCGAAAATGGTCTTAAGGACCGTCATATTATGATATGATCAGCAATTTCTATTCTGTTCGCATTTCCAGCAGGCCCGTCAACTAAACTAATAAATTAATAATTGATGGGTGAGCCATTGCTTAGCATAGCAAAAACTACTCACAGGAGAAGTGATAAGGAGATATATAAAGCATACAAAGGACTACAAAAACAATTAAATGGTGCATAGCATAAAAGAAAGAAGATAATACAGCAAATACAAGTATAAGAAACTGACTCAACAAGTACACCACACTCACAATTTCCATCATTGATCTACAGTCTACTCTATATTGTTTCATAATGACTAAAGAACACACACTAGCATAGACGCAGACACATGCCAATACAAATGTCATATGGCTTCACAAACATGGTAGTTTTCAACAAAAAGGTAGACTCTTGTAGTTAAAGTAAACATCGGTGTTGGTGACGTAAATGGACGAGTTCACAATCTTGAACAACTAATCTGCTAAAATTCACAAAAGAAAAAAACTCACCCTGCAGCACAGGTATTATGGCATGACCGACAGATTTCGGTCAACAAGCAAATCAAAATAGAAGTATCCCACTAGGTAATTCATAATATTGTTTAGTTAATAAATTCACTATATGCAGCTTCAACTATCAATTCACCACATCATCATAAGAATTGTCATAAAAGATCACCAAATTTAATTTTACTAGAGTTGATCAAATTACCATTATCATCACTGATAAGGAATCTTCCTTGAACTGTGGCTCTACAGTAACGCCTGTCCCGAAGACTCACTCCCTTCCTGTAAGAATTTGAGCATCAAGCTTGATTAAGAAAATTCAAGGCCAATTAACACACAGAATAACCTAGAAAACCACAAGAGTTAGCCCAAAAGAAAACAGCAACTGAATTTTAGCCGTGTATCTGAATTACATTCAAACAAAAAAAAAAAAAAAAAAATCCACAACACTGGCCGGAAAATTCACATTTAATTTATAAAAGGCAAGTTCCAATTTTTTATATTTTTTTTTTCTAAATAATAATAATAAGAAGAAGAGAAGAAGATGGGATTTAGTGTACCTGATGGCTGAAACATGGGGAGAAAACTGAAGATAAAGAAGAAAAAACAGGTGATGAAACTTGATTCCTGGACATGGAATTTTATGCGATCTGCGGAGATCAAACTTGGAAGCATGCGATTGAAATTTCATGAGTGTGTGTGTGTGTGTGTTTGCGAGTTACCGCACACGCGAATGGTACACTAATAAGAACATTTCCCACATATTGACCATTTTGTATTAATTGAAAAACCTCTCTCTCCCCGGAAAAAATAAAATAGAATAAAAAAATAAAAAAACAAATTCTTTTTGCCCTAAATCTGTGATTTCTCCTGCCTTCTCCGGCGGGACGCCGACTGTTTCGGCGGTCGATGGCCTATGGTTGCACGGCTCTCTCTCGGTAGTATCGATTTCCGCTCGCTTGAGCCGGCGGGATGGGCGAAGGTCCAAGAGGTTTTCGCTTCCTTCTCGGCCGTCTCTTCGAGCTGGTGGTCCATTCAATCTCTCGGGTGGTGCGGAGGTCGTCGATGCTTCTGTTGGGTTGGGTGGTGGCTCCGACGGCCAGATTGTTGTGGTCGGTCGGAGTAGAGGTAATTTGTCCTTTCTCCTCTTTTCCTTTGGTCTTCGGTGCGTGGGTCGAAGGTGCTGCTGGCGTGTCGAGTTGTGGTCGGTGGTGTGGGCAGAGCTCGAAGCAATGGTGGTGTGTTGGGGTTTGGTTCGGTTTCCTCCGGCTGAGGGTGGGGTCGGCTACTCGGGTGCATTGGCGAGTTTCTAGGGCCCAATTTCAGTTAGGTGCGAAAGTTTCATTTTGGAGTCTAGGGCGAGTTCCGGTCCGTATGGGTGATCGGCCATTACTATTACTGTTGTGATTGCTTGGCGTGTTCCCGGCCGTGAGAAGGGCTATTCCGTATTTCATTGTGTTGTCTTATGTGTTTGTGTTTGTTGTTTTTGGTGTGTTTCTTTTGTTTTGTTTGTGTCCGTAATTTGTTTTCTTTTCTTTTGGAGAAGCGTGTTATTCTCTTTTGGGGAGTTAGTGTTATTCTCATGTGGAGAGTTAGTGTCATTCTCATGTGGGGAGTTAGTGTCATTCTCCTGTGGGGAGCTTCTATTTTTCTTTTTGTGATGTAGCGTGTGTTGTGGCTTCTAGGCTGGCCTCCATGAACAGCTTCTATTTGTAAGAAATTTAACGGGTATATCCATAACTATTAGGCGGAATTGAATAAACCCTAAGCATTTAATTCTATCAATTCATAGAATATGGATCTTTTGCAT